TTTTTTGAGACAGAGCCTCAAGCTATCCCCCTGGGTAGAGTGCCATGGCATTACAGCTCACAGCAACCTCCAACTCCTGGGCTCAAGTGAGTCTCTTGCCTCCTCATCCCAAGTAGCTGGGACCACAGGTGCCCACCACAATGCCCCGCTATTTTTTGTTTGCAGCCATCATTGTTGTTTGGTGGGTCCGGGCTGGGGATTCGAACCCACCATCTTAGGTGTATGTGGCTGGCGCCTTAGCCGGTTGAGCTATAGGCGCTGAGCCATAAACTAAACTCTTGATTTGATTGGACATTTCATATTTAATGACCTTAACAACAAATGCATGACTCTGGTACCGAATCCTGGTAATGGTGGTGGTTGTGCAGATGTGGGGCAGGCATATGGAAAACTACATACTTTTCACTCCATTTTCCTGTGAACCTAAAACTGCTATAAAAAATAAAGTTTGTTAATTAGAAAAAATGAAATACAGAGGGCCAAATAGATGACCATGTGCCTCATCTTAATAGCAATTCACAAAATGACACTACTAAGCACCTGCCAGAATGGTAACAACTAAAATCCACCAATGCCAAACATTGAAAAGGAAGTGGGACATCCACTGCTGGTAAAGGCATAAATTGATACAGTTTAAACATTGAGAAACACCTCGGGGCTTGGTGCCTATGGCTCAGGTGGCTAAGGCGCCAGCCACATACTCCTAAGGTGGCGAGTTCAAATCCAGCCAGGACCTGCCAAACAACAATGATGGCTGCAACCAACAAATAGCTGGGCATTGTGGCAGGCTTGAGCCCAGGAGTTGGAGGTTGCTGTGAGCTGTGAGGCCACGGCACTCTACCGAGGGGGACAGCTTGAGGCTCTGTCTCAAAAAACAGAAAAAAAAAAAAAAAGAGAGAGAAACACCTCGGCATTGACTAGGAAAGCCTAATCCACACCCCTCAGTGACCTCACATTTCACTCCTGGTCTGTAGAAACTCAAGTACATGTGTACTAAGAATAGTGATACTGATTCGGAAAACAGGCTTAGCCTGTTTGTGCTGCTATAACAAAATATTATGGACTAAGTAATATTTAATAGAAATGTATTTCCTATAGTTCTAGGGGCTAAGAAGTCCAAGATCAAGGCACCATCAGTTTCATTGTCTGGTGAGGGGTTGCTCTCTCTGCTTCAAGATGGAATCTTGAAAGCCATGCCCTGTGGGTTAGAGTTTACCTGTGAGACACTGCAAGGGGGTCAGGAATGCTCAGCTGTTTAGATATAGATCTATGGGTCAAATGCTGGAAAAGGCTCAAAGGTTAAAATTGCTTACAGGTTAAGATATAGATTAGCAGCATAGAATAGGGAAGTTAAAGCTTATCCCTGAGGTAATCTTATGATAATCTCTTCTGTCTGTCTTTCCATTGTTTCCTCAATTCACTGAGGATGCAAAATTTCTTTGTTTCTTACTATTTATAATTAACTTTGTATGTTCTGTATGTTTTGCTTAGATAAAAGACACTTGAGGTTTTCGCTCAGGGCAGCACTTCCTTGCTACCACTTGGCATGTGAAGCTGCTTGCCTCTCAGAGCCTCATTGGTTATTTCTTTGAAAATAACTGAATGTAAAAGTTTACTTTTCCTGCCATCTCTTTGCCCTCTCATCCCTAGGAGCAAAATGGACAACACTCCATATGACAGAAAATAGAAAGGCACAAAAGGCCAAAGGCTATGTAAAGCCCCTTTTATTAGGGTCTTGATCCCATTTGCAAGGGAGGAGCCTTCATGACCTAATCACCTCTTAATGGCCTCATCTCTTACTACTGTTCCATTGAAGATTAAGTTTCAACATGAATTTTGGAGGAGATGAAAACATTCAAATCATAGCACTAACTCACTAATAAATAACTAGAGATAACCCAAAAGTCCACCAAGCAGGATTAGTTAATTTGTGGCATAATTGATGACAATAAATAAACTCCAACTGCATACCACAAGATAGATGAATTATAAAAATATAACATTGAGTAAAAGAAGACCAATCTGAAAGTGTATGATATATACTCTGATTCTGTTAATGTACACTTAAGAAACAAACCAAAATAAACCATTTTTGTTCTCAATGGTAAAAGTACAAAGCAAAGCAAGGAAAGGTTGCCACAGAAGACAGGATGGTGTTATATCTGGGGAGTTAGAGAGGAAGGAGTAGATAGGGAGACAAGACAGGGAAACTTCTGGTGATAGCATTCTATTTCTTGACTCAGTAGTGGTTACATAAGAATTTCCTTTATAATTATTCACTATACTGCATGTTTGTGTTTTGTCTATTTTTTCTGTATATGTATTATATTTCCTAAAGTTAATAAAAGTTATAAAACAAAGAAAAGGCTGCATTGGTGAAACAGACACCAGCTCCCAGTGGAATGAGTACAACAGAGCTAATTTCAAGAGCCTGGACCTGAGGCCTTACAGAAGGGATCCTTAATTTGTAGGCCAGAAAAAAACCTAAGGAAAGCCATATTTCTGCTCCATGAGTATCAGCTTGAGGGAGCAAAAGGGTTCTATGTATAGTGTCAATAAAATCATTGCAAGGACCATGCATTCTTTAATGACCTAATCCTGCAGGGCATCAGCCAGGCTCAAGATAGAATTGAAGTAATGCTGTGCAGGCTTCAAACCCCCTGATGTGTCTGAAAATGCTCAGTTCAGCTCCATCATGGGTGAGAAAACGACACTAGAATTCCAGAGTCCTGGTGCAACAATTATGCTTCCTTTGTGATGTCATTAGCAACCACCTCTGACCTCACCCACCAGAAGTTTCTAATATTGATACGTGGTAGAAGCTGTTGGTGGTAGGTGATGATGCCCTTCCACCAGTCATGAATTTTCCTTCTTCCAAGAGAGAAGTGATAGCAAAAGAGACTGCTACTGGCTAAGACTACCTACCTGTTTGGGCCTTGGTGAGTGGGGCTCAGCCTGAAGCTAGGGATAAGACCCCTCTAGAGGATAGGGAGATCAGGGCTGCCCCAGGAAAAGAGAGGCCAGGATTCTCTGCTTTGGAAGCCAAGTGATTAAAGGCCTGTGACTTTTCTACTCTGGCCCCATCAACCTGAGGAATGCCAGCTTCTAATGGGGCAGTGCTGTGTGCCTTAGACCTAAGCCCAAGGTCTTCTCATCTCTAGAAATCCACAACCCCATGTCTGTTTAGACAGAGTACACTGGAAAAAATGGTTTTCCATACCAAACCATTGCCCCTCTACCTTCTGCACAAGAAATAAAGTTCCCGTCTACCTGGAAGAACAGATTAGAGTGTATGATAAAAGCCTGAGCTCCAAAAATAGACACACTTCTTAAAAAGGTTTTATTTGGCTCTTGGGGTTGGGGGATCTAGATCGTCACTTAAGTGTGAATAGTACCTTGGTTCTGCCTTGAAAATACTATCCCTACAGTGGCTAAGTTTATATTTTGAGACCTATAGCAAAATCTACAGAGTCTGACTCCTGTCACCTCCAGGCCCACTGCCCCTGCTCACCCCTTGCTTAACAGCTTCACCCAACACCAGGCCTTGGGCTGATAGGAACAGCATGTGGCTGTCTTGTCTTGGGACCTAAATCATTAGAGTCAAACTGATGAGAAACAGCAGTGATTACACCTACCTGACTCTTTCCTGGGCCTCTTGACTTTTCTCTCTCATTTTGAATTTTTCTGAATATATCAAATGGGCAGTGTAGAAAGGCCATGTACAGTTGTGTAGGTTGTGTAGGTTGTGTACAGTTGTGCTTTTTTTTTCAATTACAAACAATTCTACAATGAATATCCTTGTGTATGTAGGTATCTATAAGCTCAGATGAGTGTTTCTGATGAAATGATTTCTAGAAAACAGGGATCAGTTCCCAGGGTCTTGGGACTATGGGCTCAATAGACTGTGAAAGTTGTGCCCCTGTGGTTCTTCACTGGGCTGGTTTTAGGACCTCCAGCAGTTTCACC